CCTGCAAATTTTAAAATAAGTGAATTCAAACTCCAAAAATCCCCATGTCAGATGGGGTGGTGGGGAATTTTTGGGAGTTGAAGTCCACACATCTTAAAGTTGCTAAGATTGAGAAACACTGATCTAGAGTATAGACAGCATCAACGGTAGGTGCTGGGCAGCTTACAATCATGAAGATAACACCATAAAATCATATAAAATATATAGAGCCAAACAAAAACTAGATTAAAACAGAAAAGCTGGAAAAAAAAACCTGCTACCACAAACTAACATCCTCAGTTCCAAAGGAAAAAGATCATCTTAGCCATTTTTCAAAAATATAACAGGGAGGGGGGCATCTTAACCTTGGGGAGATGGCTCCTTTTTATGGCTGGGGTGGCCAGTTCCATCCCATTTATGCCAGCTTATTTCTTACAGCTTTCCCACTGAGTTTACCTACAACCTCTCAAGATCTAAATGGCTTCAAGACTTCCAAACATTGCCAGATTTTCAAGGTAGGGATAGAAGAAGATAGAAGAAGTGATGAAAAAAAAAAGAGAGTAGTTTGACCCAGTTCTAATTCTTTCTCCCACCTTCTTCATACTTCCTTTTTAAAAACAAATCTCAAAGACTGATGGAATTCATACTCAGCATGCTGACTGAATCTGTTATTAAATTCTGGTCCTTGATCAAATATCATAACTTACCTGCCATGTTAAACTTCTTCAAGTGGAATAAGAGTAATCTAAAAAAGGCACAACAGAAGATGGATAGTGCTTCACAGGAGGATTTAATGTTCATCTGCATCCTGGATGATTTTAGCCAGTTTGCAAAGTGGGGCAAAATTCTTGATTCCTTGTCTTCTTATATAAGAACAGCTTTACATTCTCAGCTCCCGAACCATCTCCCTTCATGTTTATTCTCTGCCTTCCTTTCCCCCCACCAGATTCTTATTTGTTCCACAGAAACCAAAGTACTGCAGACTGAATTATGTAAATCTGGATTCCAGATCACATTTTATCCATCCACGTATCCTCTTGATATTGAATTAGATTCCTTCAGCCAGAAGTCTTTCTGAAAGAGAAGCAGACTATGTAACATGATGGATGACTCATGTTTTTTGCTTCCATCCATGGCTCCTCTCCACCCAATGTCTCCAAAACCCCTTACTTTTTTTTCTGTGCTCGCCAGAATGATCCGATAATCAAGTCTTTTCAAAACGTGTCAGACATTTTGTGCACTGTCTGGGAGACAGCAAGACTTGTGTTCCCATTCAGCAAAGCACAGCTGTTTCTGAGATGAAGTGGGTTTGCAAGGGGGTCCTTCCCCTCCTTTCTGTTTTTCAGCCACTTTAATTACAACAATTACCCAGAATCCCACTTAGAGCTGGAAAGGCCTGCTGGAAGAGGGACTGGAGGTGGATTTCACCCTTGTATGGGAATTGCGACTGGCCACCAGTGGGAAGTTGGAGCACCCAGGATATGCCATTCATTCAGATTTCAGCTTCAGTTTCACTGATTTGTTTAGGGACTTGCTTAGTTCCTTCAGTGTTTCAAGAATGGATGCATTTTTATTGTTTGCTATCAATGTGAAGCCAACGTTCTGAAGTCTTCCATTCCTTCCAGGAGAGAATGATTTAATTACTTAACTCAAAATTTCCACTTTTGAAATGGTATAGGACTTCCTCTTGTTTCTGCTGTGGAAAACCTACATGAACAGAGTTGCCCTTTGGCCCACATAATAACCTCTTCTGAATCATAGGCCTTTTCTCACCACACATTTAACTGGGTCAAGAATGGGGTAGAATGCCAAGTGCAAACTTAATTCCATTCTCACCACATTACAGCACTCTGTCAAAAATGGAGCTATGGCCCCATACTTCCAATAAAAGAAAGTATTAAGGATTGCCTGTACATTCTAAATCCCATACTATGCAAGAATGACCCAATTCTGTAGATCCAGGCCCCCAGAAAAGGTGGTTTTGTGTCTACTTGTATGGATGCTGGGTGGGATGTGGTCTGAATGAACTTGCAGATCTGGGGAAGGTATGCCTGATTTAACATAGCCACCCCAACCTAAGTCTCTAGATATGTTGGGAAATTCTTGGATTTGCTGCTTCAACATGGCTAGAAGTTGGCAGGTTAAAGAAGACTGAGTACCATTCTTTTCTGGCTAGGCTTGCATTTCCCATGAAAAGAGGTGACCAGGTTTGCACATTCCTCTTCAGCTTCTGTTCCTATTTCTTCAATGCCTGTAAGATAAAAATCTCATTATAAAGTTTCTTTGCGTGTGATGATCTTCACTAATATATTCTCTGATGCAAATAAATATACATGTAGTCCCCTGTTTAAGAGCAAGTTCCATTCCCAAGGTCTGTCAAGTCGAATTTGTATGTAAGCCGGAACAGTATTATTGTATAATACTGTATAGGTAGCATTTGTAATGAACTCAAATCATTGTGTATTTAACTCAAATCATTGTGTATTTAAGTTGAATTTTGCTACAAAAGGCTCTGTGTTAACTACGGGTCATCTGTAACCCGGCTTTCTTAACTGATCTGAAATGAAAACAGTCTCTGTACAAACTACCATGGGCCTGGCTGATGGTATCTTGTTCTTTGTCAGCAGCACTGACTAACACCAACTGATAACCTTTGTGCCCTTTTGAATGCATCTGATCTAACTTCAGAACATCCTGTATGAGCAGCAGAGAAGAAGATGACCTGGTCCTTCTGCTGTGGTTAAGCTGGACAGTGGAAGAAATATAACGAAGATATGGACATCGTCTTGCAATGTGTTTGATCAGCTTAGAGAAAGAAGAAAGAAGGGAAAGTTCATCCCTTGGTTAGATAATGAAAGAGGCAAAATGGAAGATGCAGACGTTAATGTCCACAACAACGTTTCCACCCAAAGAGTTCATGAAATGTGTATAGTGCAGTGAAGATGCAGACGCTCTGCATCACAGTTCAAAGCGTCCAACCCATTGTGGTGGGGGAAAAAGAAAGAAAGAAAACATAAAAGACAATAGAGAGATGCAGTCAAATTAATGTAATCTCATGAACTATAAATCCCCAGTAATGGATTGCATGTTCAAAATGTAGGCAAGAAAGCATGCATGTTTCACTTCGTTGTATGGGGGCCATAGTATCTCCCCCCAAGAATATTTCATCCCAATTTTAAATATTTTAAAAACACGTATCTATATTAAAGCAGAGACTCTAATATTGTATGTAAATAATTATGAATATAATTAATTACATTCATTATATATTTCTTAATCCAATAAAGAATAAAGAGTTACATACCCACAATGGAGGAACGGTTGGTGAAGATGACAGAATTTATAGAGATGGCAAAATTGACTTGTTTGATTAGGGAAAAGGCAATAATTACATTTGTCAGTGACTGGAAACCCTTTATATACTTTCTGCTGAAAACGGAAAAAAATGAACTTGTGATTTATGAGTTTGATGATTAGAAAGGGCAGCTTATGGAAAGAAGGGAGCTACGATGTAACCTTAGAGATGGTAAAATATAAATGCACCCGAGTATGAATACAAGGTCGATTTAAGAGCTTGCGGCTCTTAAGAAAGTGCAGAATCGTAATTTGGGGGACTACAGCCTATTTGGGGAAGAGAACAAAATCCAATTTATTTTTGCATTGCTAATTTAGCTAAATTGTAACCAGCATCATTTTAAAGAAAATTCTGCTGCTTCCTGTTTAGTCTGCCCCTTGTTCTAGAGCAGTGTTTCTCAACCTCAGCAACTTTAAGATGTGTGGACTTCAACTCCCAGAATTCCCCAGGCAGCAC